TCACTTGCTACTGGAACCCACTTGCCTGGACCGCTCCTTATCCCAGAAGAGGAGGTAACAAGGGGAGAGAGAGGCTGCCACCGGCCCAACCACTTCCCCTGGAGGTCTGCAATAGCGCATCTCCTCCACTCATTGGTTGTGTGCTCTTGGGGAAGTTCCTTCCCATCTAAATGCAGAAATTGGTCCTAACAGACCTTTCGGTAGACTTGTTGCTTTCGGGTACCAGCAAAGGCCAGGAGGCTTCACATTCTAAGAGCTTCCTGGAGAAATCGATTCCCTACGCCTCTCTCTCTTCCCGCCCCCGACTATCCTTCAGCTCCAGGGAACAAACCCGGTCACACTGGAAAGTCCTAGACCCTCTTTAGATACAGCAGAGAACTGTTTAAGGGATTTGTGCGCTCAAACTGCGGGGTAAATGGTCCGCGGGCTGATTTATGGCGCGTTACTCCGCGACGCGATTCCCCAAGACAGCGGGAATATTTTACACGGCGCTAATATAAACAGGCGGCCGGCCGGGTCCTTTTTATGGAGTTCCTGTAATTACCCGGGCCCTGACAGGTCTTTGATTTACTGCCCTATTTAGATAAGGGGTCCGGTGCGGGGATTGCCCGTGGCGTCAAGGTCACGGGACGTGGCGGGGAGAAGGTTTTGCGGTAGGCGCCGGGGTGCAGGCTCCCCTGGACTGCCAGTCAGGAAGATGGGGTGAGGGAAGAGCCCGGCAGGGTAGGACAGGGACCCTGCGGACATCTGGAGCGTCCGTCCGAGGTACTGCCTATCCAACTGTAGATGAGGAACTGAGTCCTGGGGGTAGCAATAACTCCCCTTAAAATCATTTAGCAAAGGAAATGGGGCGGGGGCAGCGTGCGGAGTGGGGATCTGTAACTGGAATTGGGGTCTCCAGCAATAGAATCCTCATACCTGGTGATACTCTCCTCTCCTCCACCTCCAGCCTTATTATGGCAACTGGATTCTGTAGAGTTGTCCGAAAAGGGAAGGACCCCGATTTGGTCAGAACAGAGCAGTGCAAGAGGAATCCAAGGGTCTGGCCTCTTCTTCCTGTCCAGGTTTTGCAGTGGTATGGTGGCATGTAACTCCATTTCTCCCCCTGTGAAATTAATATTCCTAAAAATAGACCCAACATTTTTGCAGGGTTATGGTTACCCCTCTAAGAGTCTCCTCTATATTATTTCACTTAATTTTACACTGGCCCTCCGGGGTGGGTATTATCATCCTCCCAATTTACAGAGGGGGAAACAGACTCCAAAGGTCCATAGAGAGGAATGACAGTGCCCCTTCTCAACATAGGTGGGCTGGGTCCCATTGCAAGACTGTCCTAAGCACTCTAACACAATCTTCAACCTCTATAAGCTCAAACTGTCTTGGGGTGAGTGTTCCTGCCTGGCTTCCACCTGCACAACTTGCGAAGCCTTCCTTGGAAAGCTGTAGGTACTCTCTAGGTGAGCAAGACAGGTTAAGGAAAGGGGCACTGCAGTGGAGTGTGGAACTGGCTAGGACCCCCAGAATCCTTAGCACCCCATGCTTGCTCTGTAGAGGTGGACTGAAGGAGAGTGGAGTCCCTTCTCCCTTTGGGGCCCAGAGGTGGAGAACTAGGTCAGGGTGCAAGGGGAATCAGAGTAGGCCCTGTGCAACAGTGGGGAGCTGGGGTCCAGACTGTCAATTCTAAACCCATTTTCTGCAGATGGGGAAACTGAGGCACAGAGCTGGAAAGGAACAGAGTGAGGTGCAGATAGTGCTGGAACTAAACTGGAAGCCACATCTTTTGCCTGTCAACCTAAAGCATGTTTGGCTAAACTCCTGGTTCCAGACCTTCCCTTATCCTATAGCCTGAGGCAGAGGGAGAGAACACCTTCGCCAGGTCCTTATCCTAGGAGTTCTGCTGCACTCCTCACACACCCGAGCCTGACTGGTGTTAGAAGCACTCTGGAAGGCTGTGTCTGGGGCCTAGACAACTTTCTGTCTCTCTGGCAGTTCAGACTGCTGGGGGGCCATCCTTCTCCCAGTCCTAATAGATCCCTCCGGGCTATACTCCAGTGGGGCCACTGCAGTATAGCTCTCCAAGGCATTGGTGGCCAGAGACAACCTGCTCTTTAACACTCACAAGATGGTTTCAGGCAGTCTTGGGGCCCTCAAGGGGTCTCTGTGACTGGGGCCCTTCATTTAGTACTGATAAGGCATTCCCCACTAGACTAACCAGACCTGATATTTGAAAGTTGAATGCAGCCATGAGTAAGGGGATAGATGGGAGAACTATGAGTTTGCATGTGGATAGTAGCTGTTCTTTTGTGTCAATCATTGTGGGTGCCTTCATAATGTGCATACTATTGAACAACTTCATTTTGAGGCTTGTGCTGTGACTACATAGGTAAGGCTGAGGATATATATCAAATTGAATTTGTGGGATCTATATGTCTGTGTTAACGTACCAATAGGTGAGGACGTCCATTTGCAAGCACCTGTGCACATATAGTAATGTATGATTTTTGCTTGCTTTTTGTTTAGGCTAGATCTCCCTCTGGCAGGCGTTAAATCCAATTTGAGGTACTGTGTGTATTGCTGTGAAAATGCCCAAATGCCAGTGAAGTTGCGAGCCCGAGTGCACGTACAAGCGCAGGTATCATGGTAGGGCCTCCCGTGATAATAGGGGCAGCTGCTGAAGATCGTGTTGGGGTTAGGACAAACACTGAGAGTGTTTTCCATAGTAATTACTTTCTCTACCGGCATAACCTTACTCTAGAGCGCCTCCAGGCCGGGGAGGCGCGGGATCCCGCGGAGCCGCCGCCGCTGGATCGGGCGCCCGGCGCTCCCTCCCTGCGAGCCTCCGGCTCCGCGCTCGGCCCAACCCCAGCGCTGCTGGCGCCAGGCGCCGGGAAAGCGGCGGGTTTCCAGCCAGCCTCGGGCAGGAAACCAGGACCTCCCTCCGCCGCTCCCCCACCACCTCCTGCACCTCTAGGGCCCACAACCACATTGAGCTCCCACAGGTGAACCCATGGGCTCAGACCTAAGTGATTGTCCCCTCTTTCCTCAAATAAATATTTAGAACCAAGGTACCCACAGTACGTCAATACTCACGCATTCCTAGGATTTTACACGTTATGTCTGTCACTCACAAGTACACATCATGCTCAAGACGTGTTTCCACCTACCCACTCATCCTTGGGCCTTCCGGAGGAATCCATCATCCTGTCTGGACCTCACTTTCCCTTTTTGTACAAAAGAAAGTTGGCTTTTCTCTCTCTGCCTTTGGACTAGTAACGGTGCCAGGCACATCGCGGGCATCAATAAACCATTTTTGAGTGAATGGATAAGTAATGAATTTGCCCTCTAAAAACAGCACTCAGGATAATCTCCTTTCGCCCTTACCTTGGTATCCTGATTGAGAGAAAGGCACATTTGTCTACTCCGCCTAGGGAAGGGGCTTGGCTGGAAAGGACTGAGGGGTTAGAGGGCCTCGGTTTCCTCTTCTAGGAAGCCATTGTAATACAAGGTTAGACCTACGCTTCGCAACCCGCAGCCCGAAGCACTGCCACTGTGGGATTACCAGGTTCCCACGGGAGCGGGAGGAAAGCCCCAGTGGAGAAAATCAGACAGGCAGTCAAGGGCCCTGGTCCTAGGGGAAGTTGCAGAGGTTGTGCACTTTGCTCCACGGCTCAGTGCGGGTGGGTCGAAAGTCTCCGGGATGCTGTGCAGGTCGAGTTTCCCTCGGCATATTTTTCGCGGAAGGCTGGTTTCTAGCGGTGTGAACTTGGGTGACAGGGTATTTAGAGACTCAAACATTCTCAAGGGGTGACGATCTAGGTAGAGTGGCCTAGCATAATTTTGCTCCCGGCCCTCTGCGCGACTACGGGGGAGAAACCAGGAGAGTCCTAGCAGCGTCTTGCGGATTACACGCCCTAGGGCGAAGGCGGTCTCCAGGAGGCTGCCTCTGCCACGGCCTGGCCTGCCGGCTTTAGACGGAATCAGGCGCCTGCGAGGCGAGAAGAGCAGATTTCAGGCCCTCGAGCCCGGAACAAACTGGTAAATGCCCTGGGCTTGACGTCCGTTCTTTCTTCCCGTCGCCCATTCCCACCGCAGCTTCAGTAACGCTTCTCGGTGGGAAGCAGGCTTCAGGTCTGCCGGTGACTGGGCGAGAACTGGCCGGCTGGTCCAACCGCGGATGCAAGATCGACTCCCGGTCCCACCAGACAGGGCAGATGATTAAATGATCGGGGTGAGAGGGTGGGGTGGGGTGGGGGAGGAAGATATTAAGGAAAAAAACGTTAGGAAACTATCCTGCCTCCCACCGCGCATTCCCTTCTTTGGATTCCCCTGCCAGGCGGAGCAGATGGAGCTGGGGACCGGGATCCCTTGCAACCCCTATTCTGATTTCCCGAGAGTCTAGAAACAAGAACAATCCCTTCACCCCCATCCTGTCTCAGTTTCCCTATCTGTAAAATCAAGGGGAGCCCTTCTTTTCCTTCCAAGACTCCAGTTTCCTTTCCTTGGACCCACAAGTTGGGGGTGGCAGCAGGTTGGCCAGCCTGCCTCAAGTACGTAGCCCCCGCCTTCCCAGCCCGGGAATCGGCGGGCAGGGGAGGGACGGAGGCGTGGCCGGTTCCCTGTCCCTGCAGGCCGCCTGGAGTCAGTGGCGTTAGCCTAGCAAAACCTGGGACGTCCCCCCCCCCCCCCCCTTCCTCCTCTCCGCCCCCCTGCTATTGGCTCCAGGGAGAGGTTGACATCAAAGCCACGCCTTATATAAGCCAGATCCTGAAGGGGAGTCCGGAGAAGGGTTAAATCGGTCTTTGGGCATCGGCATCCTAGTCCGCGACAGAAACTTGCACGAAGGCAGCAGGCTACGTGTGTCATCTTCAACCTTGCTCAGGACTCTCGCAAAGCCGGCGCCCAGCAGTGCGCGGCCCGGGAGCCCACGGGTGGCCCCGGTCCTCTTTGGGGCACATGGGGCGGCGCTAATCCGGCTAGCGGTTCAGGCCAGGAGCCTCTCCAACATGAACCTCGTGGGCAGCTACGCACACCATCACCACCATCACCACCCACACCCCGCGCACCCCATGCTCCACGAGCCCTTCCTCTTTGGCCCGGCCTCGCGCTGTCACCAGGAGCGACCTTATTTCCAAAGCTGGCTGCTGAGCCCTGCTGACGCTGCCCCGGACTTCTCTGCGGGAGGGCCACCACCAACAGCCGCTGTGGCTACTGCCGCCTACGGTCCGGACGCCAGACAGGGTCAGAGCCCCGGGCGCCTGGAGGCGCTCGGCGGCCGCCTGGGCCGGCGGAAAGGCTCGGGACCCAAGAAGGAGAGGAGACGCACAGAGAGCATTAATAGCGCGTTCGCTGAGCTGCGGGAGTGCATCCCCAACGTGCCGGCGGACACCAAGCTCTCCAAGATCAAGACTCTGCGCCTGGCCACCAGCTACATCGCCTACTTGATGGACGTACTGGCCAAGGATGCACAGGCTGGCGACCCCGAAGCCTTCAAGGCTGAACTCAAGAAGGTGGATGGTAGCCGCGAGAGCAAGCGGAAAAGGGAGCTGGTGAGTACTGGGGCCTGTAAGCTTCCAGCCAGGGGTGCAGTCTGCGTGAGCATCGCCAGCACTGCAAGAAACCGGAGTTATTTTGTGTGTGAGATTTTGAAAAGCTATGGAGTTTTCTCACATAGTTACAGTGTGTGATTGTGTGTGTGCAGAGAGGCAGATTCATAATTGAATTCAATTGTAATGTGGGTTAGTGTTTGTTAAGACTGAGTGAATGAAGAATCTTAAGCCTTTTGGTTAGGATCTTAGGGCTTTCTTTAAAACTCCTTTGAAAGCCTTGGATTCCAAGAGAGTGCACACACTATATATTGCACTTACAGTTTGGAGGAGACCTGATCCATCCCTGGGTTCTTCTGGAAGCCTGGTTAAGATTGCATGAAAAGTTCATTAATTTGCTTTGAGTCTGAATATATGCATTTGGCCTCAGTTTCTGCTTTCAAACAGCCTTTGATGGAGAGGTTAAACTACTTCCATCACTGGATAGAAAAGGGAAACAGGCCCATAGTAGGGCAAAACACGAAAATCTGCTACAAGAGAGTAAGTAAGAAGTGGAGGTGAGGGGCTGGAGTTGAGGCTCAGAGAGCGCTCCCCTAGCACATGCGAGACGCTAGGTTAGATCCTCAGTACCACATAAAAATAAATAAAATAAAGGTATTGTGTCTAACTACAACTAGAAAAATATTTTTTTTTTTTAAAAAAAGAAGTGGAGGTGAGGTAAAAGAGGTCAGGCTTTCAACTCCTGGTTCAGAACCCACCAGTTCCACTCCCCATGGGTTGGTTTTAGAGCGCAACCTCAATGGCTTTGTATATAAACAAGCAGGAGCTACTTTTTGGCTTTGGAGGTCATAATCCCTACTACGTCTTTCTGGATCCTCTCCAGTTAGAGGAATACATTTTGGTGCCCAGTTTCCCTGCCCAGGGCTGCAGGACCTCTAGGCATGGTGTTAATTCAGGTTGGCGAAGGAGTTCTCCAGGTTGGTGCGCTCAGGCCCAGTTTTATCTGATCCAAGGGGCCTGTGGGTCACGGGGAAAAGACAGTAGTCATCAAATCTCAGCCGATGCCCTGGGTTGGAGGAGATGCAGGCTTTAAGGGGGTTCCTCATTGCAAGTAGTTATTGGGTGGATCCACACTGTCCCCCCCAACAACCCGCCCTCCGCCGCACAGCCTCCTGGACGTTGCACCGTTGGGTGCCCTATTACGGAAGCCGGGAAGGAAGCTCCGGGTCAGGCCGGCTCCTAGCCTTCTGAGGCTTCCGCCACCAGTTCTGGCGGATCCAACCCTGCATCCAAACCAGATGGTAAATCCTGTTAGCAAGCCGGCGGGTCGTGTAGGTAGCTGGGGAAAGTGGATTCCCACCCCTCCCATCCCAATCCCCTGAGGTCTCCCTTAGGCGCCACAAAGCCAAGTCAGCACAAATGCGTTCCACCAGACGCCGAGAATTCTGGTTACCAAACCTCCTGCAGCTGCCGGTCCTGTCCCGGATCCCAGGAACTTGGCGCATTAAGGCAAATTTATGGGCCTGTTTGCCTATTTTGCAAACAGAAATCCGTCACTTATTTAAAGACTCCCAGTTACTGCTCTGGACACCTTTCCCCTCACCCCACCCACTCCTCGCCGGTGATCGGAGCAGAACCGTCTAAACCTGTCTCTTTCACCTCTCTTCTTGTGTGTGTCCTTTGGCAGCCGCAGCACGAAGGCTTTCCTCCTGCCCTGGGCCCAGGTGAGAAGAGGATTAAAGGGCGCACCGGCTGGCCGCAGCAAGTCTGGGCGCTGGAGTTAAACCAGTGAGCCGAGGACCTGGCCACGGCTGGGCGACCCCGGAGCCCCGGGAGGAGATGAAGGCGGCGGCCAAGGCCGGGCTCTGGGTTCCTGCGACTTGTGAGAGAGCGTTGCGCAGAACCTCTGAGAGCGCTGGCGGGTAGCGGGCTGCAACCACACACTTGGATCGCACGTGCAATGTCATTTGAAATTGTTTTAAATACATTAAGAGAAAGAAATTTATATATATCCACCTCCTTTAACCGAGGGAGGCTTTTGGAGGCACGATGCAGGAGGGAGGGACTGCGGAACCCAAGTGCCTAAAGACACACCCTTCCAACCCTTCTGGGTCGAATTTAGAACCCCCAACGCCATCCTCAACTCCGCCATCTGGCTTTTTCTCTTGTTCCCCTCTCCGCTTTGTGCCACCCCAGACTCCTTCTTCTCCAAGTAAAATGCAATAAGAGGAATCCATAGTTTTCTTCCAGGGAACGAGAACCGAAAGCAGGAAGGTGGAGGGCTGCCTTTTGTCGTTCCCCTTTAAACAGCAGTGTTTCACTTTTCTTTTTGTTGCTGTACATCCTACGTAGTTCCAAGGGGAACTCTCCCTCTTTCTCTCTTTTTCTTCCTTTCTTTTTTTTTACCCCTTTTCCTTTCTCTTTTTTTCTAAATAAAAATTTCCCCTATGTTGCAAAGTTTTTATATATTTAAACTACCTATCATGCCTGTTGCACTCAGGTGTTCGTTATCTCCCCATCCCCATCCCTTTTCTACCTCAGATCTGTATGACCACTCACTGCCCCTCCCTTTGCCAAAGCAGTATCTATGCTCTTGAATAATAAAAAAATTTTCAGTAATTCTCAGAAGTCTGCGTGATGTTTCAGCCTGGAGCCAAGCCTGCTCCCGCTTCTCCTCCTTTGATAATCACCAAACCAAACTGCAAATCAAGTTGAGGGGAGGCAGATAAAGGATTTCTTTCTGGAGCGAAGAGTAAAATTCTTAGACTACACAACAACAGGACTGGTTGACTTATCTGAACCAGGAGAATGGGAAGCGGGGGAATTCCGACTTTTAAACTCAAGAGTTTTATCTGGGTGCATATTCACAGGTTAGTATGCACACTCGTGTCTGCAGATTGTGGTTTGGTGGTTTTCTTTGGGTGGAGTTAGCAGGAGGGGAAGAGGGTCTATCACACAAACCAGGGTTGTCTCCAGCAGAGTAGCTTGAAAGAGGGGAAATTTTCAGAGAATTCATTCATGTATGTGAAATTCTGAACATATAGGTGTACATTTTTCGGCAATGTATACGGAGCCGGTGTCTGTGCAGGTCCTGTGAGGGTCGCTTAGCACAGCTCCATCGTCCAGTTGTAGCAGCTATGTGAGTCAAATAAGCCGGGGTTATGGTTAAACCCAGTCATTTATCTTTTTCTCCAGCATCAGAGCGTATGGATTTTGTGCAAAGTGTTGGGGTGCGTGTGCTGCGGGCACTTGTGCGCGCGAGCCGGTCTCTGAGGCCCCACCTGCGCACCATTTCTGGGTGTGAATAAATGCAGGCACAATTGCCTAAAAGCGCGCGTGCGAGCTGGGCTAAACTGGGGCCGGCAGACGCAGGTGTTTACACGCCCACGAATAATAACATAAATAATAATGTATGATTAGTTTTATTTGCATGCAGCCGTGTCCCCTAACAGCTGCCACGCGTGTCCCAGGGGCTCAGCGCTCACTGCTGGTGCGGACCTCGGTTCTTCCGCGCTCACTGCGAAGGAGGCGGGAAGACGCGCACAGCTGTCCTGGCACTTTCGCGGTGTACACCCGAGCTTGATCAGGCTCTCGGCTTTGGGACAGACAAGGAGACCCCGGGCAGCTGCAGGGCAGGGCTATGCGGGGCACCAGGCGTGGCCCAGTTGCCTCGAACCGGCAGCGGGGTGAATATGGGGCCCCATTAGTCTTGGCTGTAAACACCGTGGCAGGGGCTGGGAGGCCACGCGGGCCTTTCCGGACGCGAAGGAGTTAATAAAAGGTGTTTTATGGACGCGAGGAAATGTGGGGGAGGTGTGAGCTTCTCCCCACGCTCGCCCCCCTACTTTTTTCTTTTTTTCCCCCTAGCCACCCGCCGCCAGATCAAACAGACCAGCGATTTAACTAGGGCAACACCTCGCCGTAATGAGCCGGCGACGCACCCCTCCCCCGGCCTCAGTGCGGGCCGGAGGCCCCAGGCCCTCAGGGAGGAGAAGAAAGAAAAACCAAGTTTTTTTTTTTTCTTTTATTATTATTATTTTCCTCCCAAGAGCTGGGAATCTTTCTGGAAATTCTAGCACGGGCGTGGGGAAACCAGGGTCCAGGGAGAGAGATCATTGCTGGCCCACAGCACAAGGGGACCTTATCTGGATTCGAACCCAAGACTCCAATTTAGCTCAAAGACAAACCTCCGGCTATACATAGGGCCCAGCTCCCTTGACTATTTTTAGCAGGGCAAAGTATCTTAGGCACGGGAAGAATGCGCACCCGCGTCCTGCTTCCTTAAGGCCAGGGAGAGGAGAGGGGTACCTTCCAGGGGTACCTCCCGCCCGCGGCAGCTAGAGCCCAAACTGGCATAACCAGGAGACACCCCGGTCAGCTGGTCCCTAACTTTTTTTGGGAAGAGAGGGGTGGACCCCCTAAAATCTGGCTCAGTCATGTCTGATTTGGATCTTAGATCCTGAATATGGGAACTCAGACTGGCAGCCGCTGCCCTTTAATGGGGTCGCTGGATGATCTGTCTCTCTCTCCTACACGTTTTACCCCAGCAGGGGTGAACGCCCATGCCACGTTCCCAGCCCGTAGTCCACAGTTGGAAAAGCCAAGCCCGGAGGGAGAAACCGAGTGGCTCCAGTCACACCAACCAGTCCGGCTCTGGAGGTTCTCAGCCTGTCTCCTGGCAAACATCTTTAGAACCTGGTGTCTACTTTCTTATTCTAGACCCACGTTTCGACGCTGTCAGACGCTTCAAGCAAGCTGTGGTGAAGCAGTGTCATATTTAATTTAAGTATATTCTCCCTTTTACATAGAGGGGAAAAAAAAAAAAAAAGGAATGATCATGAACTTAAAAATAGACTCCAGGAATATATCATAAGGAAATAGTCCCTGATGTTACAAAGCTTCAACTGTAGGGCCACTGGGCTGAAGAATAAAGACAGGAAAAGATCCCCAGGCCTTGGTCTAATTAAGAGAACTGGTTGAATAAATTCATCAGCACATTTTCGAAATTGACACGAAAATTGTCCAAAGTATACTAAGTAATATTATGGGAAGACCATTCCCCCATCACTAACCACCATAATTATGGCTCCCTTCATGTGAAAATAAATAAGTAAATAAACAAAAAACCCTCAAATGTCTTTCATAGATAAGAAGTGAAAGAATATGCATCAAAACATGGGCGGGGGGTTGTGGCTTAGTGGTAGAGCGCTTGCCTAGCACGTGTGAGGCACTGGGTTTGATCCTCAGCACCACATAAGAATAAATAAAACGTTATTAAACAAACAAACAACCCCCCCCAAACATATCTATACCTCTGACTTGTGGGAATGAGCATAATTTTTACTATTCGTCTTGATTAGCTATATTTAAAAAATTATTTACAATGAATAAATACTACTTTTGAGATTAAAAATCTGCAATTTCCTTCTAACTTCTCTTGTTGCCAGCGTGATTTCAGTACTGTACATGGTGTATTCAACACACATGTTTGAATTTCTAACATGTGCACTGTGGGTATCACTGTGGGTATAAGTATCACAGTAAGAGAAAATCCTAATAATGATGAGTGGTTAATATAACGATAATAAATATCTGTCTGGAAAAGTTATTAGTCCTTCCATACAGCAAATATGAGTCTTCTTCTTCCATTTAAAATATATTGCTTAATAAAATATTAACTACAGCAAAAATATACAAAGCAAACTATTTAAACCCTTCGCTCGCATTATTTCATCTAAGCCTCACAAAGGTTATGATTGGTTAAAATTGAGGCAGCTGAGGCTCAGAGGGGTGAAAGGGTTTTCTCCAAGGTCACATAGGAGGTAAAAGGCACATTGGGCTTGGATTGAAGTACTAGATCTGGCGGCCTTCAAAGACTTGGCTTTCCCCACATCTTGGAGCACCTCCAGGGTATGTAGGCAAGCGCACACACATGCATAAGTACACACACGCATCTAGATATGCTTCAGTCTGATTTCCTTTGGTTGCCAAAATTAGGCAGAGAAAGAGGGAAGGAGTTATGTAAAGGGGTTTGGGATTCTGACCGACTCCAGCCCTTCCCCTGGAAACCTCTTCCCTGCTGGGGCTCAGAGTAGATGCCCTCTATAAAAATGAGGAAACGTGTATCTCCTGAGCTCTAGATTCTTTCTTGGCTATAACTTTCTGATTCCAAGCACTTCCTTTCTTCTGGTAAAAAAGTCTGCATGTTATTCTTTGCAGCAACTTCTGGTGTTGGTTTGCATAGCGAGCGTTCAATTTCTTTGGTATTTCCATTTCTTGAAGCACATTTTCCTCCTGGTAATCTAGAAGGGAGGCAGGCAGGCATGAGGCTCCCTATGGACCAATGGGAAAAGGAAGAGCCAGAGAGTTGAAGGGTCACACACCCAGTCAGAAGCAGAGCGGGTTCGGCAGGCGGCAGGCCCCCAGCTCTCTTGGAAAAGGCACCAGATACCTTCTCTCCATGCAGCAACCAGCAGTTAAGCTTATGGTCTTGCTAAATCCTCATAAAAGAAATGAAACTAAAAAGCCAGTCAACCTCATTTTTAAATGAAAAGTGACTGGAAAGAAAAATTATGCTCGCTCTGAAGTGCCTGAAACTAGCCTCCCGATTTGTTTGAAAAAAAATTAATCTTTTTTTTTTCAGCTGAGTTTTTACAGCTGAGCTCTCCCAAACCCATAAAAAACAAGGTTTATATGGGAAATAGTGAAAGACTCTTAACTGTAATACACAGCGTCTAATGTAAGCAGACGTAGACACTATATAAAGTTCCTACAAATGTTATTAAAACAAAC